ATGTGGTTTCAGATACAGCCATACACAGAATCACCTGCCTGACACCAAGATGTTAGCAGATTTGTTTTCTGGCAAGTAGGAACTTTCCAAAGCTGGGAAAGTAATGAGCAGATCAGCAGCAAGAAAGGAGAATCTAGAGAAGCAGACAACCCTCATTTGCAACCTTTATGCATGGGAGAACTCAGGAAAGAGGGTGAGAGAGCTGGTACTCTGTAAACTCCAGCAGGAACAAGCAATCACATGTGCAAAATTTACTTTGCATGGTGCAGAGTAGAAAGTGCTAGTTGTCTGTGAAATCGAACAGCAGCAAAACTTATTTGCAATTCTGTGCTGGGTTTAGCAGGAGACAAAACAGCCATTCCATACACAAGCATGACCCAAAAACATGCTTATCTTTATATGTAAGTTAAATGCAGTACAAGCAGGTAGGGATGAAAACAGTTAGATGTTTTAAGTTTGTATACTGCTAAATGTTTAAACTAGCCTTGCTTTGCAAATGCTACAGGCAGATCTTGGAAATCATGCAGGGACAGAGTTTAACAAACATATTAGTCTGGTTGCTGGGGGTGAAGCTGAGAAAGGAAATCATTAAGTTTTACTTGTATTCTGCTACTTTTCTATTCCAGTTGCCACAAGAACAGATCAAGCTCTTGCAGCAGCAGGTCAAAAATCCACTGCTTGAATATATTTTAATCACAATTTCCCTGACTTTCCAGAAAGTGGCAACCCTGTCTAGATCAAATCAAGCCTAAACTCACCCTAGAAGCTAAAAAAATAAGACTATCGTACTTTGGTCACATTATGATTAGTTGAGTCACTGGAAAAGACAATAATGCTCAGAAGAGTTGAAGGCAGCAGGAAAATAGGAAGACCCAACATGAGATGGATTGACTCGACAAAGGAAGCCACGGTCCTCAGTTTGAGCAAGGCTTTTAATGCTGGGACATTTTGGAGGACATTAATTCATAGGGTCACCATAAATTGGTGGCATTTAACACACACACACACACACAACAAAGAAATTACTGAAGAGACCAGGGAAACCACCATCCATGGCGGGATCAATTTTTGACAAGACTTTCCAAGTGCAAGAGACTTTGAAAAGAATGTCCAGGAATCAGTGTGGTTCCAAAGCAGTATTCCCTCTAAGCTGAGTTAGTATGAGCTAGCTCAGTTTTTTAGCCTCCAACTCACACATTTTTGTCTTAGCTCAGGAAGGATGGCTCCAGAGCAAATTAATTTATGCAGAAGCCAAATCGCCAGTTGCTCACAAAGTAGAATTTTTACTCACGAGACTCCATAGCTTAGAGGGAGCATTGGTCCAGAGGTGAACAAAAATCACTACCTCTCCTGCATAGATACCTGCCTGTCTGCCAGAGCATGGTAGGAAGCCAAGATACACACTCCCTGGTTTGGGTCAAACCAAGAGCAGGTAGGAGAGAACAAGTCCACGCCTAACTCATTTTGTTTCCAAGCCAGATTTCCACATACATGCCCACCAGTTGTTACTGGACATTCCACTTTTAAACCCAGGAGGCTAGCAGCCTGTTACTTTAGAAACCATTTCACTGTAACTTACCACCCCATTCTTTACATTTCTCAGTATTTTTCACAGAGGCCTGCACAGCTTGAAGATTTCCACCTTGTCTAGCCCTTCTGCTTTTAGGGCTGAAACTGTAACTAGTTAACTTGTACCATTTATCAACTCTTCCAAGAAATGTTGGCAGTTCTGCAGCTCAATAGGCATTTCCATTGTGATGCAAATAGCCCTGTCACCCTGGAAAGGAGACCAAAAGTTGAAAAAGTATCTCACAAAGGGGTCCATAAGCCAGACTGTGCATCAATATTACCAGAGCAGCTGCTGCTTTCAAAATCATCATTTCCTTTCGCCCAGGGGAATTGTTACACACATTACTCTTTGACAGTCCCTAGTGGCCGTATAGGAAACAGCAAGCTCCTCATACAATAGCTGGCATTGCCATCTTCATTTCAGGAAAGATTCTAAAGCTGGGAAAGTTACATAGGCATGTCTTTAATGCATGCATTTACTACAGGTCTCCAAGAGTGACAACTGTGCATGCTCTTACCAGGGTTCCCTGCTCTCTAATACCCATAACAACAGGGCTTTGGTACATGTTTGTTCCATTCCCTGCTATGGGGTTACTTTTCTCAGGCCTGCCTGGGCTATCCAGGTCAGGGCACCTCCTCTATGAACCCCCCGAAACACATAACCTTTACCTAACCCATCTTGCTCTTTACATTTCCTTTTAAATAAAAAAATTATCCTGATGAAGGTTTCAGTGTATCCCCAATACAGTTAAGACACTCAGCTCTCAAACTTTGTTTTTAAAGCAAGCAACAATATCTAATGATCATATACTAGCCAAATGTTCAGTAGGCCTTGGGGGATGGGGAAATATATTACAAGGACCTCTTTGGGAACAATGCGTTGGGCAGAAATTTTCCCTCATCTGGCAGAGTCTGTTAGCAAAGCCTGGCATCGAGCAAACTGACCAAAACAGCATGTCCTGGAACACCATTGTACATGTCCACCTGTCAGTGAATGGCAGCCATTCCCTTATCAAGGGAAAAAAATAGTTCTCATACAAGAAGGAATTGGTCACCCCCCAAATTCACAGCATTTGCTGCAGAATTCCATGGAGTAACTGCTTTCCTATGCTTTTGCTGCTGCCGGCTACACCTAAGCCACCAGCAGCAGTTTAATGCCTACATTAGGAGCAAGTTAGCTCAATTCATTCATATCACAGAAAGTAACAAGCAGACTCAGAAAGCGAAGCTTTTCCAATTTATTGACGCCTCTTTGATGCATTGCCTCATTGGCATCACCTGGGCAATGGAGCTGCTCTCTAGGAGATTCATGAGAAGTCCTGGGTACACATCATCCTGCTTTCCTCCCTCAGTCAAGAAAACAGAGCTGTTCTTACTAACAGGGGAAGGCTGGCAGTCATTTTTCAGGAACAGACTAATCTATTTGCTTATTTCTCCACCTCTATTTGTGTCATGGAACAGGACTAAAACACAAGATGCATCTGTCACACACAGTATGACTTGCAGAGAGACTTTCCCGCACAAGCTAGAGTTCTGAAAATTTAAAGCCCACACATAGGCCAAGATTGCTCAGTTACTAGAGAAAACTGAAAACAGGACATGAATGGTTTAGCTAACATAAAATATCTTGGCAACTGAATCCTAACAGATTTAGTCCATAATGGAGGCAAGCATTTCAACATAGAATTGATAGTCAGTACTGTGTATCTACACTTGCAGACAAATCTACTAGTCTTGGGGCAGTAGTACGTGGGCATCAAAACAGGGTAGTTCCACAGCTATCTAAACATATACATAATCCAAGGCACTCCAGCTATAGGAAAAGTCCAGTTAAAGATATTGTATGCCTCTCCCAAGCCATATGGTGTCAACTACAGCCCACTCACTTGTGACTGCTTTGCCACCAGCATTCATAGTTGCACATGCTGCCTAGCAGTTGTTATTGCAGCACTTCCAGCTGCACACACTGTTGCAGCACAGTTCAAGAAAGGACACAGGCAGGTGTGAGCATGGGAAGCGGGAAGGCTTGCAAGAGGGCATGGCAATGATGCACAGGTGTGAGGCACAAGAGGGCAGGAAGGGAAGCATGACTAGGGTCTGGTGGGCAGAGGGGAAGAGACCCCCAAAGCTCAGGACCAGCCCTACATTATACATACCTGCAGAAGCATTTATCAAACACAAGTTCTGTAACTGGCTATCTACTGAAAGCTCAGGCTCCAGCAAGCTGAGCTTCCATCAACTGCACTGTTTGCTTTCCCTCTGTACATATGTGCACTCTTTCTGTACATATGACCTTTATTTCTCTCAGACATCCCATCTTTGGGGGGGGGGGGAGAAAGTATGACAGAAGTGTAACTAATTATGCAAATGTAATATACACAGTATTCAGCACAGAAATTGTTTCCTTCCTAACCCTGATTACATTTTTCCAAAGCCATCTCTAACAAGAGCTCGTGCTTCTGCACTAGAAGTTGTGCTTTCCCTTTCCTCTAAAGAGAATATACAAACCCTTCCTTGCCTGCTGTTCCACTCCACACACACCCATTCCATTAACACTCTCTCATCCTGCTTTAGTCTTAAACTTATCCTCCTGTGTGCAGCCTAACCACCAGGCAGCATGGAAGGTTCACCCCCACCCTTTGATAAGGAACTACAGCTAACTTCTTGTACTTACAACCTATCATTTATGAGTAATTGGGAACAACATGGAACTTGGTTTGCATGCTCCACCCACCAAATCCAGGAACTGGAACTTCTACTTGAAAGTTTTTGGAGCAGCAGCAAAAGAAAGGTCAGTCCACTGAAGTAGGATTAGTGAGACCCAGGTTCAAAGCCATGACTGCTGGATGACCTCAGGCCAATCACACTCATTCACCATATAAGCAACCCCAGAGGGTTGCTGTGAGTTCAAGATGGAGGGGAGAGCCATTTGTCACCTGGACTCTTTGGAGGAACAGCAAAATAAAAATATTATAACTAGAGCAGTTTAAGTTGTTCCTTTCTATGCCATAACCCAATGTTTCTGGAAGCTTCACATATGGCAACTACTTCATAAAAAAGCTACTTCAGTCAAGCACATGATAGTTGTAACACGCATAGAAACCATCCCTGGCAGAAGGCAGAGTCTGATAAAGCAACAATGAGGGGGGAGGTTATCCAGAAGAGATTTGTCTGTGAAGTGGGCTAGGAAGACATTGTTCCGTGTACTGAAGTGTCCACAGCAATGTGCCAGACAGCCAAGACCAAAAGAAAAGAGAACTTGCTAAATAAACGAAGAAGGGGGTGAGGGAGCAAGGCACAGGTAGAACTAGCAGACAGCATTTGTAGAGTGAAATCTGTAGTGTCCCCAGTACATCCATTGTTTCACAGCACGTTTGTGCACTAGCTCTGCCTTTACTACTAGTAATTTCACAAGAAGGTAAGACCCACGATCAGTTTCAAGATTTTATTTTGTCAGAAGGGGAAGCTGATGATTCCAAATCTGTTAAACCCTATCTAAGATTTACAGACAAAAATGCGCCAAATCAAACAAAAATCTCCTCTAAGGAAAGGAGCAGGGAGGAAGATGTAGGGGCAGAGACATCGCTATGAAAGAACCACATACTTGGTCCCAGTTCTAGCACAACTTTGGGACTCAAAAGCAGCCCACTGAGCCGGACTGCTGAGCTGGAACATGCCTGCCTGGTAAGCAGAGATTTTGGACCCTGCAAACCTCCTGCTTTTTCCACCACCAGGTCACTGGGGTTTTGCTGGGGCTGCTCAGGTACCATGAAAAAAAGGAATCTAATCAAGGCAATAATAAATACTGACAGGCCAGGCACACAATTTCAAAGGCAGAACAGATACATAAGGCATTCACTGCTCTTGAGCATTTGTCCATTGCAAGCTCTTTGTTCAGATCAGATGAGGAACTGCTGAGCTAGGCCAATCCATCTTCCAGCCCTGAAATCCAGAGGTTGCCCCCAGGGACTTCAGTGCTTTGCAACAAATTGGGGTGTGAGAGAACTAACAAGGAGATGACGGTGGCACTACTACTAAGCCTATTCCCCCTAGCTGGAAGCAAATGCTTCCCTGGCCTTGGGGAGCCTGTTAAGTGTAGCAGCCTGAACCCTGCTTAAGACCTTGGAGAATTCAGCATCAGCAGGATTATGGTCTGGTCAGAAGATGTAAAACAGAAGGGAGGGGAATATGTGTATGGATGGGATAGGAGCACATATAAAAAGTGTAACAAGGTCCGGGGGCCCCTCCTTGGGGGATGTATGTTACACACACATTAAGGCATCATGGTTACAGAAACCATCACAAATGGGAAGCCAGCCCGTGCTCCCCCTCCCCACCGAGGGAAGGGGGAAGGCAGGCTGTGGACATGATTGAGCCTGGAAACAATTGGGAAAGCAGGCAGTTGCCAACTCTGCATGGAATCATGATTCCTCAAGTACTTCACCTCTTGCCCAGAGACAGGAATGCCTCCAAATCCTCTCTCTCCCCAACAAGCAGGAGCATTGCTTTCCTTTTAGAACCTGCCTGAAGTATATTCCAGTGGGTTAAAAGCAGCAGTGAAATAAGCCCAGGAGGAGGCCATGAAGCACGCCTGCCTCTGTGCTCAGGGACAGACAGGGTAGGTTTGGTCAATTTCTTTCAGTGATTCTCAGAGGGAACATGGGGCATTGAGCCAAGAAGTCTTCCTGGTGAGCTAAAAGGGGAAGGGGAAGGGTATCCAATGCCAGCACTTTGGTACAGGGTGGGGTTTCTACTGTAGCCACTGTCTGAGCAATTCTTGGGATTTGGCATTAGAAGGACTAATCCTTCCACTCCTTCTTGATGGTCAGGTTCCACTCCCAGGACAGATGGTCTGTCTTGTCATCATCTGTAAATTTCGATTTGATGTTGTAGCTGCCCCGGGCCAGCATACCCTTGGGGGCTTCCTCCATAGGGGTTAAGAACTCATACTCTTCAGCACGTGGCCCGTAACTCCCAACCATGTAATCAGTCTTGTCAACTGGAAGGAGACAAAAGTAGTGACAACTTGTGAACTGCCAAGAACAAAGACTTTTGAAACAAATCAATACATCTCCACCCAGAGCAATATTATTTTGTTTAAGTTTTATTTATAAGTTTATACAATAAAATAAAATCATATTCAAAATTACATAACTTTTCGAGTCTATTTTTTTCACTCTTTCTCTATCCACTCATACAGTCCTGACCATCTTTTTTCATAGATACTTTCGTTTCCCCCCCCCTAGTATTACATTTAACTTATCAATTTCTGCTACTTCCAGTAATTTATATATTATTTCTTCCTTCTGAGGTATTTTATCCGATTTCCAATATTTGGCCCAAAGGATTCTTGCTGCCATCAATATATACATCAACACATAAACCTCTTTTTTGTCAAACTCCTTTGGGACCATGTTTAGCAGGTAGATTTCAGGACTAAGTGGTAGCTCCACCCGACCCAGAGCAACATTAGAGCCTCCTTAAACAGTCAACCCCAATCAGCTTGCTGTTCTGCCTTCTCTGCAGCTGGTATTCAAACAGAAATTATGCTTTCACCACACTAGGTAGCCCCAACTTCTGTTTTTATCTGTGAAATCTGGCTTCAGTCAGATAAACCCTCCTTTGCAAAGAGACTTTGCCAAGGGGCGGCACTTCATTGCCCGAAAGCAGCAGAAGAGATAGAGATGTACAATACAAGGCAGCTTCCTTCCTTTTCAGGCACTCACTTTTTACTCCTTTTCTGAATGTGTGCTGAATGTACTTCAAACCTGAAACGATCTCCTTGTTCACCTAAAACAGACAAAAGAGGTCAGCCAATACGAACTTAACTGACAAGCACCCTTTCTGCAGCCACTTCATAAGACTTACCAGAAAGGAGATCTTTATCCGGTACTCCACACCCTCCTTTAGCACAAATGACTGCTTCTTGAAACTCTCCAAGTCACCTGGACAGCATGAAGGCAGGAATGAGTGAAACTGTCCCCAGTGAGCAGGACAGTCCCTTTAATGCCAGTTTGATCTCTATTAATCAGACAACGTCTACTTCCAATAGTAGTCTGAAGGCTTGGATACTATTGCACCAAGGCCACAGAAAACATGAAAATGGAGCTTTAAATTCTAGTCTCAGCACCACAGCTGACATCATTACCCACACAACAAATCTTTCCAGCCCCATGACAACCAAGAGCAACACCATGATGGTCAGCACTATCTGAGTTTTTTCAACATGGAAGCCTGCTAGAGGGGCAGGTATGCAGGCTCAAATTGAAATGGGTGGACAGGAGCAGTGAAACAACCGTCACAGGGAAGAATCCCGGCCCCGTAAGTGGCTTGTACACAACCTTGCTCCATATGAAACAAGATGAGCCTTAAACTATATTAACAGGAGCTTTGCTGAGGCGGAATCTCTTCAGAAGCCTAGATCTGACGAATGCTCCTCCCATCTCAGGACCCAGCAAGGGGAAGAATAGCTATCTAATCTTAGCTGTTCCCAGGCAAGCATGGGTACAAAATACTGAGGGTAGAGACTTTTCTGTGGAAGCAGCCTACACTGCCTTCACAGGACAGATCTCCATTCTGACACAACCCACTCACCTTTGAGATCCAGCTCCAACGGGCCAGGGGCACTGGCACAAACCAGAGTCAGTTTTGTTACCACCACGTTTGGAGCACTGGGGTCTAAAACGGAAGAGGAGGGAAAAGCACTTAGAAGGTATGCAGACCACGTCCTCTGTGCACGCCACTGATCACTGCAGATACAAGCAGCTTCTTCAATCACTACAGGGCCTCTTTGCGATATGCTACACCTGAAATGCTAGGAATCCTCTACTTTCATCTTAAGGATTTCTACCTTACAGAAATGGATTGTGGAGAAGCATGAAGTGATCTCAAAATCAACAGGGAGGAAATTCATCCAGTGACCAAGTCATAGCCTTTCAGGCCTTTTATATCTTTTATGATCTCCTTAGCTACCATTCTGTCCTCCTGACCAGTGCCAGTCCTTCCGTTTCAGGTTCTTCCACAAAGACAAACCTCACACTAAGATTACTTTTGCCTTAATTCTAGTTGCAAACCTGTTCATACGTACCACTTACTCAAATACACATAAGTGTATTGGTAGGCTAAGCTCTCTCAGACGGTCTTTGTTATGCCAGAACCACCTGCATGTCTTCAAGATCCTAATGCCCAGCTTTGACCAGCTAGATTGCTCACCCACACCTAGATGGGAAAGGACGGCCTGCCTTAAAGAGACACCGGGTAATCTGAAGGGAGGGAACCAATCTAAACAGTCATGCACTTTTACAAAAAAGCAGATACACCCTGTGGGAACTCACCAGCAGCAATGGCTACATTTCCAAGCAGGGCCTCTTTGTACTTGCGCAAACTCTCATCATCTTTGTCTAGTTCTTGGATCTCCTGGATGCTCTTCTGGGCAGGGGGCTTGTAATTGACAGAGTGCTCATCCTCCTCATTTTCAGCTGCAATTTGGGCCAGCTGCTCAGGGGTGGGTTCTTGTTCAGCCATCTCTGCAAGTTCAACCTATGTCTAGATGAAACACAAGAACACGAATCATCACCTACAAGCACTACCAGGAGAAGCTTCCTTACTCAAAGATGAAGAAAGGTCTCAAGATACTGTTCTTTAGTTTTAAGAAGTCAGCTTGGAAAAGGGTTCTTTCATGGGAAGACAGCAAAAACTATGTTCCATGATCAAACACTCCCATCCTTTGCCTGCTGCTGCTGGAACAAAGTTTTCTTTTGCTGGCTAAGTCAGGGTAGGTTTGGTCTCCTGGTCTCCTATCAAAGACAATGCCCGCTGCTCCCAGTTCTGGTCTCTACTGGGAGATAACTCTACACAGCCAATCACCCTGCTTCAAAGAAGAAGATGCTGTAAGGTCGCCTCCATGCTTGAGAGGAGACAGTTGGAGCGTTCCACAATTAAGGATACATCAGCCCATC